TCTGGACTGGGTGGAAGCTGGCTTGCAAGTTTGCCGACAGGGCTATAACATGCTTAATTTACTGATTCATCGTAAAAATCTTAACTACTTACATCTGGATTACAATTTCAATTTGAAGCCGGTTAAAACATTGACGACTAAGGAGCGAAAAAAGTCACGTTTCGGCAATGGTTGGTTTTTAAGCGCATATTTTAGTGTTTAATATTTTAACATTAGGAATTTGTTTACCTTGAAATTTTTAAATACGGTTCCGTTATTCTTTCTGTAAAGTTAAATGTAATTTTTCATAATATATTTTATAGCGTTCCATTTGTGCCGTGAAATTCTGCGGCTAACCAAGCTTATCATCGATTCGCACGTTCAATATCGTCTTAATAATGTTGACGCTTTTCAGCTGGCGGATGGACTGCAATACATTTTTGCGCATGTCGGTCAGCTAACTGGCATGTATCGTTACAAGTACAAGTTAATGCGACAGATACGCATGTGCAAAGATTTGAAACATCTAATATATTATCGCTTCAACACGGTGAGCAAATTTTTTTATAATAGTACACTTTTTGAACATACAAAATTAATAAACTATATCTGATTTGCTTGCCACCCTAGGGACCTGTGGGTAAGGGTCCTGGGTGTGGTTTTTGGGCGCCAGGTTGGCGTGTTTGGTTATTCTTCATGCGCGGTATAACTCCTTTGTTAGAACGCTGGCTGGGCAATTTGTTATCTCGACAATTTGAGGGTCGCCACTCCAAGGGCGTTGCCAAAACTGTTACAAAACAACGTGTAGAGTCACATTTTGATCTAGAGTTGCGTGCTTCTGTCATGCACGATATCGTTGATATGATGCCCGAAGGTATTAAACAAAATAAGGCACGTACAATATTGCAACACTTATCGGAAGCGTGGCGTTGTTGGAAGGCGAATATACCATGGAAAGTACCTGGGCTGCCTATACCCATAGAGAATATGATTTTGCGCTATGTTAAGATGAAGGCCGACTGGTGGACTAACACCGCGCACTACAATCGAGAACGTATACGTCGTGGCGCTACAGTCGATAAAACTGTTTGTAAAAAGAATTTAGGTCGGTTAACACGTCTTTATTTGAAAGCTGAGCAGGAGCGTCAGCATAATTATCTAAAAGATGGTCCATACATATCACCCGAAGAGGCTGTAGCCATTTACACGACAACGGTGCATTGGCTGGAGTCACGGCGCTTCGGCCCGATTCCATTCCCACCACTTTCCTATAAACACGATACTAAACTACTGATTTTGGCATTAGAACGTCTGAAGGAAGCCTACAGCGTTAAATCGCGTTTAAATCAGAGTCAACGCGAAGAATTGGGTCTCATTGAGCAGGCTTACGATAATCCACATGAAGCGTTGTCGCGTATAAAACGTCACTTGCTAACACAGCGTGCGTTCAAGGAGGTATTGAAGCAACATACATATAAACGGAACGGTTCTCAAAAGTCAGTTTTTATATTCATTTTTAGGTTGGTATTGAGTTTATGGACTTGTATAGTCATTTAATACCAGTGTATGATGTTGAACCGCTTGAGAAAATAACGGATGCCTATTTGGATCAATATTTGTGGTATGAGGCAGACAAACGTCGCCTCTTTCCGCCATGGATTAAACCGAGTGACACTGAGCCACCACCATTATTGGCATATAAGTGGTGCCAAGGTAAGTTGAAAGTACACTGAATTGTTATAATGCAATGGATAATATACATACATTGTGGGTATATGTAGGCGTGCGTGTGTGTGATTTGTAGCAAAGTGATTTGCGTTTGAAATCCCCTTGTTGCAAACCTCACGCATGCGCGTTTCTACTATTCAACGTTTTATAATAATGGTGGTTTATTGAGCACAAAATATCCATTATTTTTTAAACAGTGTTAATAAAACGAAATGTTTCGTGAACGGTCGGGTTTTTTCCGAAAATTTTTGTGATTTTTTCGGGATCTCTTTGTAATTTTTCCGGGTCTTTCGGGATTTTTTGTGTTTTGTTTTTCGACCATTTGAAATTTTTCACGATTTTTCGGAACACTTGCCGTATTTGTTTTTCAGCATTTCTCAAGTTTTATTTTTGCAGACTTTTGGAAAATTTAGTTGCCTTTCAAGATTTTTTCGGGAACTTTCGGAATTTTGGGGAATTTTCAGGTTCGAAATTGGAGTGTTTTCGGTGTCATTGAGGAGTTTTTATTATTTTTTCGGATTGCTGGTGTTTTTTGTGTGTTTCGGGTACTTCGACATTTTTTATTCGAAAATTCCAGGTTTCATCGTGTTTTGTATCACGACCCTTTTGAAATTTTAACGGACTTTTCGGGGATTTTATTACGTAGCGTATTGTTTTATTTTTTGCGATCTTTGGGATTTTTTGGGTTTTGAGGACTTTATTTTTTCTGGGGTATCTTATCGGGGAAGTTTCTTCGTGTTGATTTTCGAAACGCAATGCATATGTGTGCGGTTAAAATTTAAACTATTCATCCTGTGTATACAAATATTTGCACAACGAGCAATACCATAATAACGGTTATTTACCGATTACTGTTAATAAGTGAACCACTGCTGGTTACCTAATTTAATAAGCGTGATTAAGTGAATAATATTTGTCATATTTTATCAATTTCCGTGCCAAAGGCATCAACAATCTACAGGATGTTTGGGACGTAGGCGAGGGCGAATGCAACGTTTTGCTGGAATCACGATTCGAAAAACTTTATGAAAAGATTGATTTAACACTTCTCAATCGTTTGCTACGTCTTATTGTGGATCATAATATTGCGGATTACATGACAGCTAAGAATAACGTCGTCATTAACTACAAGGACATGAACCACACCAACAGTTATGGCATTATAAGAGGTCTACAGTTCTCTTCGTTTATAACGCAGTACTATGGATTGGTTTTGGATTTGTTAGTGCTTGGGCTGCATCGCGCCAGTGAGATGGCTGGACCACCACAAATGCCTAACGACTTTTTGACGTTCCAGGATACAGTCACTGAAACAGCACATCCTATACGTTTATATTGCCGATATGTGGATCGCATTCATTTGTTTTTCCGCTTTTCGGCGGAAGAGGCTCGTGATTTAATTCAGCGTTATCTCACCGAACATCCAGATCCAAATAATGAAAATATTGTTGGCTACAACAACAAAAAGTGTTGGCCCAGAGACGCGCGTATGCGATTGATGAAGCACGATGTCAACTTGTGAGTTTTTTGCCTTTGAAAATATTTGAAAACTAAAATTATATATTACTGTTTTTCCTCGTATTTAGGGGCCGCGCTGTTTTCTGGGATATTAAGAATCGATTACCACGCTCGGTTACAACAATTAACTGGGAGAATACTTTCGTTTCAGTCTACTCAAAAGATAATCCGAATCTATTATTTAATATGTGCGGTTTTGAATGCCGAATTCTACCAAAGGTAATAAAGCATTTTTCTTTTTAACATTATTCTATGTATGTATGTATAGCATTTGCTATTTTTAGTGTCGTACGCAAACTGAAGAATTTACACATCGTGATGGTGTTTGGAATTTACAAAATGAAGTCACAAAGGAGCGCACGGCTCAATGTTTTTTGCGTGTTGATGACGAATCGTTGGGACGTTTCCATAATCGTGTCCGCCAAATTCTTATGGCGTCTGGCTCAACAACGTTTACGAAGGTCAAGTGTTTGTGCACTTCTAAACCATTAGCCGTTGACTAAACTCATTCTTTGCCTTTTCGTTTCAACTTACAGATTGTGAATAAATGGAATACGGCGCTTATTGGTTTAATGACTTACTTCCGCGAAGCCGTAGTAAATACACAAGAATTACTGGATTTACTTGTGAAGTGCGAAAACAAAATACAGACTCGTATCAAAATTGGTCTCAACTCTAAAATGCCCTCACGTTTCCCACCTGTGGTGTTCTACACGCCGAAAGAATTGGGTGGTTTGGGCATGTTGAGCATGGGTCACGTGCTTATTCCGCAATCCGATTTGCGTTGGTCTAAGCAAACTGATGTTGGTATTACACATTTCCGCTCAGGTATATTAAAGACTTAAAAAATTTTAAAATTTCAAAAAATAAAAAATATATATGTTCCATTGCCGGTAGGTATGTCGCATGACGAGGATCAATTGATTCCAAATTTATATCGTTATATTCAACCATGGGAGAGTGAATTCATTGATTCTCAGCGTGTTTGGGCCGAATATGCGCTGAAGCGTCAGGAGGCAAATGCTCAAAATCGCCGTCTAACATTGGAAGATCTCGAAGACAGTTGGGACCGTGGTATTCCACGTATAAACACACTCTTCCAAAAAGATCGTCATACACTGGCCTATGATAAGGGATGGCGCATACGCACGGAATTCAAACAATATCAAGTATTGAAACAAAACCCCTTCTGGTGGACGCATCAACGTCACGACGGTAAATTGTGGAATCTTAACAACTATCGTACGGACATGATACAGGCATTGGGTGGCGTTGAAGGTATTCTAGAGCATACACTCTTCAAGGGTACCTACTTCCCAACGTGGGAGGGTCTTTTCTGGGAGAAAGCATCTGGTTTTGAAGAGTCCATGAAGTACAAAAAATTGACAAATGCGCAGCGTTCCGGTTTAAATCAAATTCCTAACCGTCGTTTTACGCTATGGTGGTCACCAACTATAAATCGAGCTAATGTGTACGTTGGTTTCCAAGTACAACTCGACTTGACTGGTATTTTCATGCATGGCAAAATTCCCACCTTGAAAATTTCGTTGATTCAAATATTCCGTGCTCACTTGTGGCAAAAAATACACGAATCGATTGTTATGGATTTGTGTCAGGTATTCGATCAAGAATTGGACGCACTGGAAATCGAAACGGTTCAAAAAGAGACTATACATCCACGTAAATCGTATAAGATGAATTCATCTTGTGCTGATATATTGCTATTCCCTGCTTATAAATGGAATGTATCGCGACCATCTTTGCTGGCGGACACAAAAGACACAATGGACAATACAACAACACAAAAATACTGGTTAGATATACAGTTGCGTTGGGGCGATTACGATTCACACGATGTAGAACGTTATGCACGTGCGAAATTCCTTGACTACACCACAGACAACATGTCTATCTATCCCTCACCGACTGGTGTACTCATCGCCATAGACTTGGCATATAATTTACACTCGGCTTATGGCAACTGGTTCCCCGGCTGCAAGACGCTCATACAACAAGCTATGGCTAAAATTATGAAGGCTAATCCTGCGCTATATGTGTTGCGCGAACGTATACGAAAAGCGTTGCAACTATATTCTTCTGAACCAACTGAACCTTATCTGAGTTCACAAAATTATGGTGAATTGTTTTCGAATCAGATTATATGGTTTGTGGACGACACGAATGTATATCGTGTAACTATACATAAAACATTCGAAGGCAATCTGACAACGAAACCCATTAACGGCGCAATTTTCATATTTAATCCACGTACTGGTCAATTGTTCTTGAAAATCATTCATACGTCTGTATGGGCTGGTCAAAAACGTCTGGGTCAGTTGGCCAAATGGAAGACAGCGGAAGAAGTAGCGGCATTAATTCGATCCTTGCCCGTTGAAGAACAACCTAAACAGATCATCGTAACTCGTAAGGGTATGTTGGATCCATTGGAAGTGCATTTGTTAGATTTCCCAAATATTGTGATCAAAGGCTCTGAACTGCAACTGCCATTCCAGGTGAGTAAAGAAATGTATTCATAAAGAATTAATGTATGCACATTAGGGTGTAGCACTGCTGAAATTTCTAATATTCCAAGATCCCGCCAAAATATTTCGGCAAAATATTAAGATTTACGTGCGCTGAACCGATTTGAAAATACATCGATTTTCTCACCTCAGTTGATAAAAGAGTTTAAAGATTAAACGGATTGCATAAAAATGTTATAAACGGAATTAAAATAATGAGACTTTTGGAGGTATTTTCAAATCGGTTAATAAAAATTCTTGAAATCTTTTACACATTTTTTCCTGCCACTTGAGTCTTTTTTTTAAATTTAATTGGCATTAACTGTCGGTTTACATAGCGCCAGGTTAATTCTTCTTTTCAACTCTTATATATATTATATTTCCTTATTAGTTAACAACCTGTCACAATTCTTCCCAAAACAGGCTTGCCTTAAAGTTGAGAAATTCGGTGACTTAATTTTGAAAGCCACTGAACCACAAATGGTGCTGTTTAATCTCTATGATGATTGGCTGAAGACCATCTCTTCCTACACAGCATTCAGTCGATTGATTTTAATTTTGCGTGCACTACATGTGAATACCGAACGTACAAAAATCATATTGAAACCAGATAAGACAACCATAACTGAGGCTCATCACATCTGGCCAACACTCACCGACGAGGAGTGGATAAAGGTTGAAGTACAGCTTAAAGATTTGATTTTGGCCGATTACGGCAAGAAGAATAACGTGAATGTGGCCTCACTTACGCAATCTGAAATACGTGATATTATTTTGGGCATGGAAATTAGTGCACCATCGGCGCAACGTCAACAAATTGCTGAAATTGAAAAGCAGACGAAGGAGCAAAATCAATTGACGGCAACGACGACGCGTACAACGAACAAACATGGCGATGAAATTATTACCTCGACCACATCGAACTATGAAACTCAAACATTTAGCTCGAAAACAGAGTGGCGTGTGCGTGCTATATCTGCAACAAATCTACATCTGCGTACGAATCACATTTATGTCAGTTCGGACGATATCAAAGAGACTGGGTACACCTATATATTACCGAAAAACATACTAAAGAAATTTGTAACGATTTCCGATTTGCGTGCACAAATTGCCGGATACCTGTATGGCGTGAGTCCACCTGATAATCCACAGGTAATTTCATAATCGGCTCATTGCTATGGAAATTTGCAAGCTTTTATTGTTTTTCTTTTTAATTGTAGGTTAAAGAAATCCGTTGCATTGTTATGCCTCCACAATGGGGCACACATCAGACTATAAACCTGCCCAACACTCTTCCCACACATCAGTATCTGAAAGATATGGAGCCACTCGGTTGGATACATACACAGCCGAATGAGTTGCCACAACTGTCGCCGCAAGATATCACCACACACGCAAAAATTATGCAAGAAAATGCAACGTGGGATGGTGAAAAGACCATAGTTATAACCTGTTCTTTTACGCCTGGCTCGTGTTCGCTGACTGCTTACAAGTTAACGCCATCCGGTTTTGAGTGGGGCTCTAAGAATACAGATAAAGGTAATAATCCTAAAGGTTACTTACCATCACACTACGAGCGCGTCCAGATGCTGCTGTCGAATAAATTCCTCGGCTTCTTTATGGTGCCATCACAGGGCAGTTGGAATTACAACTTTATGGGTGTGCGGCACGATGCAAGTATGAAGTATGAGCTGCAATTGTCGAATCCTAAGGAATTCTATCACGAAATACATCGACCTTCACACTTTTTATTATTTTCCAATTTGGAAGATGCTGGCGACGGGTCGGGTGCCGATCGTGAGGATGTGTTTGCGTAGTTTGACAAACACTCAGCAGAAATATGTTTAATCTTTTTCGTATTTTTATGTAACTTGATTTTAGTTAACTTCATATGTATGTATATTGTAAAAGAAATTCAACCATCGTAAATTGAAATATGGCGATCGAGCTGTGTAGACTTCATTAAGATCATAGTTATAGCAATTTGTTTGAAACAGAAAACGTTAATATTTTCAGACTTACAAATTTAAAACGGACTACAGACAACAAATAAATTAATAATTTACAAACCAAAATCGCTGTGTTAAATTCGATTTTTTGGGATAGGGTAAGGTTGTCGTTGTCTACTGAATAGTCAACGCTTAGGTCGAAAAACCATAGCCCAACTTCGTTCTGGCTATTGCAGCAGGCTTAAACCATACCTGAGCAGAATAAACGAGGATGCGACCGGTGCAGAATAAACGAGGATGTGTGTGTGAGGATGAACCGACCCGAGCGGGGTGTAGTTGCCGCTACAACAACAACAACATTCTGCAAACTTTTATTAAGTTTAGGTACAGAGAGTTTTTGGCAACAAGTAATTTTTAAGCAGAAAACAAAACCGACTTCAATTCTCATATAAACATTTTAGATTATCGTTAATTTCTTCATGATCCGATGATCGGTTTTAAAGCAAATTAATATGGGACCACCTGTGAGGTAACATCTTTCATTAAAAAAAAAAAAAAAAAATCGGTATAACCTTTCTCTTTTTTGTGAAACCGGTTACATATATATGTATGTATACATGGAAATCTCCATGCCAAATTGCTACTGCGATTAAATATTGGTCTCTAAAATTTTTATTTTTGATTCGGAAATATTTTCGCCCATATCAATATTATAAAGCAAGCAAAAACAATTCATTAGAAACAACCCATGTTTACTGCTCTTGCAAATTTGAAGTTGCTAAAAATTCCGTTAATTTTTGATTTAAAAAATGTCGAATATACTTGGTATGGAAAAAATAAGTAAAGCCGTCAACAAAAAAATTGCCAAAAATCAACAGTAAGTCCCAGATTATTCAAATTTTCACTTTATTGCTCTAAAATTTATTAAGCTACAAAACTACATACCAAAAATTTTTCTTAATATGCTTATTAAAAATTTAGAAATTTTGTAGTATTTTCATAATTTTTGCACAAAGTCTGAAATTCGAATTTATATGGTATTTGTGAAGTAAACAGTTGTGAAGTATAGCACTTTCCTAAAAAGATACTAAACATTAAAGAAACTAAAGAAAAACAGCCAAAACTTGCTCGCGTTGTGAAACGTTTGTTGTACTCAAACTAAACACTAGGTAATGTCGCTATTTTCTGCAGTGTACTGGATATGGGTCATAAGTGTAGTATAATCAATCATTATTGATGTAACAAGTCAGCTACTTTTTGATTTCCACCGCTTAATTTTTGTGTACAAAATTTTTTAGCCGTCCATCTTCAACTAAAATATAAAAATAAATATTTGGGAATTTCAGATTTTGCTAAGCTAAGCTGTTTGGCCGAGCTTTTGTTCCAAGTTGCGATGTGGCGTCTTGCTGCTAGCACACACTGTTTTATGCCACCCCAGTGCCAAATGGTTTTTTATGGGAATATTTTCCATGGCAGGAATATACCGCAGCCTTGCCATTTCCAGCCAAGAGGCGAGGGCTATTAGAAAAAAATCTGCGAGTGGTAGTACGTCCCTCTAATCGCTCAACTACTTATAGATATATACATATATATGTACATACACATATATACATAAAGTTGGAAGATAAAGTAATATTAATAATAATAATTAATAATATTTATTTATAATTTATTTGTTATTTATAATTTATAATATATCTTTTGTATAAAAAATATTTACATTAATAGTTAGTATTCTTTCTAAATTTTAGTTTAATAATATTTGCAAGGGTTTTTTTTTTCTTTATTTGATACAATTTAGGTACGCGGGCTTGTAAACCATTTGTTTCCGTAATCTACTACATATAATTAAAACACTTTCGCTACATGTTCCCTAAATAGTTGGTGACTGACTCTCGTTCTGCATCTGTTTGTTTTTTATATATCTATTTTTCACTACGGTTATTGTGCCGTTTGTTTTGCGTATTGCTATTTCTATGTTGCAAACGATGGAAAGCTACTAAAGTGTGTGTCGGTATATCTATTATGAGCATTTCCATAGCAAAATGGCCAAGTTACCACCGAAGAAAAGATACAAAATATTTTTCGTTTCGTATGATACCTCGAATCCAAAACCTTCGCCAACGACAACATGCCAGTAGATGCCAAATTTTTTATCCATTGTCTCTTTAATAACGCGTGCAGCTTGCTGTTGGAATAAGTAGAAGAAAAAAATTACGTAAAAAAGTGTCTTGAAGATGGAAATCATTAGTATCTATATACATATCGAGCATAAGAAAAAAAACAAAATCAGGCCGATTCTGAATAGAAACTCCCTGGGAGTTTTCTCCCTTTTCCGTTTCCCCCTACCCTGAATAAAAATTCCCTGAGGATTTTTTACATTAAATGGCTTAGTTGAGCTGTCAAAAAAGTTCCCAACAGCTCTTTAAGTTCGAATTTCCTCCTCCCGAATTTTCGGGGAAAATACCACTCCTTGAGAGTTAATTATTGGAGGATTTTTCTCGGAAGAAACAAATTCCCGGAGAACAAACTCCCCGAAAGTATTTAGAATTGGGCCGAATATGTTGAAATCAGGACAGCGGCTATGATTTTCAGTGAAACATCATATAGTTTTTATATTCAGGTAAAATTTTTTTGGTTATAAAGGTTTTCTTAAGAACAAACGTGTCGCCCTCGGCAACAAATTTATTGACGGTAACATCGCTAACGTATCGATTTCTTATTACGGGTCACTCTAAAACGTCCGCCGAAGGCAACTCACTCGCCTTGTCGAGTCGTTTTCGTATTACCCGAACGAGTCGTTTTTTCTCGCTTCATTATTGCCACAGGCGATATTTGAACAATAATTATTTCCCTCGCTATGGCGCTCCCTATGTTTTTCGATCCTAGCTTTGGCTTAAATTAGATGCTTTTGGAGAGTGCTGTTGACACGAAATTCATCAGTTTGGGAATTTTTGATAACATTTTCCTAAAATGACATGTATGTAAGAAATGATGTTGTCCATTTCTCACTACGGCAATAAATCGGCGAGTCGCCAATTTGTTGCCATTGACGATTGTTGCCTATTTTGCATCTCTGGCATCGTGGGATCCTATCTACTGATTCAGTGACGAAATATGGTTATATAAACACACTCTCTTAGGCATTAGTAATTTTTATTGACATTAAGATTTACATTAATTTACATACCTCGTAATTGCTGGAATATTTTTCGCAAGCAGTAATGCTCATTTCGATTGCTTCGGAGCGCATTTCTTCGTTCATATCAGAATGCTGAAAATATCGTATATTATCGTATTTTAGTAATATGTATTATGTTCTCTTATTTATTTTTATAAGAAATTCTGATTATTTTCCAATTGTGCCGGCTGCTTTAACAAACAGACATATGTATGTACATATTCGTACGTACCTTGACAAGCGGATATGTGTGTACGATTTTCTTTTCCGACTCTTTTTCCGGATTTGCACCCTCATCAGCCATGACGATCAAGTTTATACAAACAAACGACAAACAAAAATTCGCAATTTCGACAGACCAAAGAACAAGCTTAACACCCAAGTTTGTTTTGAGAAGCGCACAAACAAAATACTATTTCAAATCTGTCTGTCCGTTTCAAGTGAAAGTCACTTTGAAATTATTCGAAAAATATTCGCATTCGAAAATCTAACAGAGGCGTCCAAAATATTGTATTAACTCGAATACCTGGTATATAAGAACTTATTGAATAGCCGATTTTCTTTGATTGTTCTAAATTTTTTAAAAATTGCTTGCATTGCGTTTATTATTGCCGCCACTTAATCCGCTTCCAGTTCATAAAGCCGACTGACTGACTGACTATTGTGATGCCTTTATTAAGAATTTATTGACTTTGTGGTGCTCTTTTTTTATACTACTATACTAGCCAAACTCCAATTATTTACACTTGCTAACTTCTCTTGCCGATATACTTTGTTGAGCTGCAGTGCGCATGCGTTAGTTCGCTCTTGTCCATTCTGCTAAATTTTACCATGAAGTAGGGTCGGCGGAACGTACTATCACACATTATAGTGCGCTTCAATTACACTACCACCCAATCTTCATTGCAGTGCTTCTTTCTTCCGGCTTGTCACAAGTTTTAAGGGAGGAAATTGTAATGATGAGGCGAAATAGTGATTTGCGAATTTATAGAGAAACAAGAAAAATATTAGATTTTGGGGGAAGCATCCCGCATTTGCTTGAGTCTGTTTACATAGGTTTATCTTTCTTTCGATTGTATTGTACGCCGAGAACGTTACATAAATTTGTATGTATGTATGTATGTATGTATATATGTAAAAGGAGTTTTAACGAGGATACAAAAGCACTCAACATTACAATGCCCCGATGATATGATGCTGCATTTTAAGATGGCCAATCTTTTTTTGGTTAATACATATGTACGTGTGCACGTATCAGTACCTTATTCTAACACTTGTTATTTCCAGAGTAAAAAATCAAAAACGTAATAAAGAATTAAGTTCTTTGTTTGAGATATTTTTTTTTCAAATCGTTGTTATTTATTGAAGACTAACTATTTTTTAAATTCTATGATTTTGAAAACAAAATATGTTATATAGAAACTCATTGATGTAATTCTGTTAAATTTTATGGATTTTAAAAGAAAATGTGTAAGTTAGGGACTTTGTATACGTTTTGACCATGGATTTGTACATTAGGGTTGGTCGAAAAAAATTTATTTTTCTTATATTCTTTTGCAATTGTGAAGGTTGTGTTTTTATAAGGTCAATTGAAAGCTTGAAAAATATTTTTCGTGAACAAACAAACAAGCGTTCATCATCTCCTGTGGCACACAGATAAAATTCATTCTTGGTACGAGTTCAGTTTTTTTGTTTTTATTAGACAGTAAAGCCGGGAACCCAAATCACATAGTCAATCATCTTTTGTGCCAGACCAGTAATTTAGGGTTACTCTTAAATTTATCTTTTTGCATCAAACATTTTAGTTATCTTAAAAATATAAGCAAATGAATGTGGTGACGTTAGCCAAGTGTATGTACGGTATCGGTCATATCGATAGCACGTCCATTTCAAAGTGATATGTTTGCCACTTATGTTTAATTATTTATTTGTAAGAATTTTCAATTAATATACCGTTCATCATTCTCTAACGAAACCCATATGTATAAGCCAAGGTTTAAAACTTTGTAATAGACTTCAAAAAAGTGCAAAAAATTTTCACCCAAATTTCAAAATTTTTTCTCAAAAGTGTTAGATTTTTTTAGTAAACACTTTTTTAGCCCATTCAATTTTAGTCGATAATATGCCAGTTTCAAGAAGCTAAAAATTGCCGTTGATTTTCAAATCTTTTTTTTTGTGGCATTTGCTTCCAAATAACGAATAAACACACTTCATTTGTATGTGGCAAAAACCCGCAGCACTTTAAGTATTAGACTAACGGCACTATTCTGTATCAGTGACAAATTCTTGTCACAGTTTTTCTTTACTGAAAAATATATAAAAAAGTTTAAAATTGTAAGTAAAAAATTTTTTTGTCACCCATACAAAATTAGGCTATAAAACTATGTACTCACTGTGCACTTTTTTGTGGTTTTCTACAAAGTTTTAAACTTCGGTTTATATGGATTTTATTAGAAATTGAACTGTATTTTAATTGAAAATTCCTAAAAATAAGACAATAAACATGACCGGCAAACAATATCACTTTGAAATGAGGGTCCTATTGAAATGATCGATACTGTATATTCTGTTAAAACTGAGTAAAAACGATGACAGTCCAATTTCAGAGAATTTGAAATAATTTGACTGGATTTTTGTTTATCGTATGGTCTATCCTTCCATATAACGCTACTTTTAAAAACTGCGAAATCTGTTTCACATAAATAAATACATATCTCAATTTCACTTTAACAACACTGCTTTTAGTTTATTTGCTTTTTTATATTATGCGAAACATGTATTGACTTGTACATACATATGTATGTATCTAAATATGTATATAGGTATGTATGTAATGTGCAAAAATGGTTTCCGTTTTCGAAATGACAATATAAAGTATATTACGCACTTATAACCAAGGCGTATTAAACGCCTTAGATCACACCTTGTGATTGACAACTCAGTGCGAGTCTCTTTTAAAGTACTATTATGTCAAAAAATATAAACAAACGAATCGAGATTGATACAATTTTTCCCAATTTGACATTAGAGGATGGTTCTTATGAAAGCAATTCTTAAATTTATTCACACTTTGTTCAATACCTTTAGCTTATAACTAAGATGTATGTATTTAATACAGCGTGATTGAGCTTGACATTGCTTTCATCCTATAATGGCAAATCGAAAAAAGTATGAATTTCGAATCGTTTGTTTATATTTTTTGACTTTAGAGACCTGCACTGAGTTGTAATTTATTTAATGCATCTTGCTTATAACCATTATCAAAACATTACAAGGAAAAACCATTGGCAGGCAGTGTGACGTTTGCAACAGTATAATTTTAAAATTCTCAAACTTCCACGCACATTCTCATTTTCAATTCAAACATTTGTGAACAATTTAGTTTTTTTATTTTAAATTTTATATGATTTTAAAATGCTTGCAAACGTCAGAAAAACATCAGGACCGACGAATTGAGAGGATGATATTACCTTGTAATGTTTTTATCATACTTATAACTATTATTTTTCCACTCTACCCTAACTAAACAAATCTGCTCATCATCCCTCCCTTTCATTTAATCCCAGTTTTCCTCAGAATCATAAGTGGCGTCATCTTTAGTATGTGAATATCCACCGCATGCTCCCAATTCATCATCATTTTCTGTCTCATCATCATTACAACCAACATCGTTCCACAAACCGTACTCGTCATCATAACAATCATCATAATGACGATAACTTAAATCATCTTCATCATATTCAGGCAATATGATGTAATCTCCTTTCACTTCAATATCGTTTTCTTTTAGAATAGCCAGTAATTCTTGCATTGAGGCGCCAAGAGTTTCAATAAAGTCTTTTAAAACTGTAAGGGGCACTTGATATACGCCTAGATCTCGATTAAAGTATCTATCTATACGACGGCAACGATCGATTTGATAGCGCGCCTCGTCCAAAATTTTTTGTTCCTTACTACGTTCATCGCGATTATATGGAAAATCAACTGCAAATATTTCTTTGTATTGTACATCAGCATCCGGATCACAATCCACTGGAACTTCGCTACTAAAGGGTTCAGTTAGGGAACGATCGAGCAAGTCATTGCGCGCAAAAATCGCAATTTGCGTGACGTATCCGATATCTTTTTTGTCAGGTGGCGCGTCGCCGACACCAATGAAAGCAACACTATAATTATGATACTTTTGGCAAATATTTAGTGCCCAATCCTTGAATTCGGTGCGTGTCCATTCGAATTTGTGGTCATCGTGTCGAAAACCATTTTCCAACAATGGTTCAAAAAGGACATTGAATTCAGAGTTTGGTGTAGAGAATATGGCAATTTTAGGTTGCATGAACCCAAATATATTTTTTGGTACGTTCTCCAATGTTTTGGGATATAAATGTTCAATTCTGTAGATTTATGAAGTTAAAGAATAATATTTTATATTAAAAAATCCTTACATTTCCAAAGCGATAACTGCGTCCACATTAAGCAATTGTTCCACCGACGCATCAATACTGCCTTTCAATAGTTCCACGCGTAAAGGACCTTCACGCTTTTTCAAATAATCGGATACAAGTGGTTCTGCTCTTAACTTATTACTTCTCAAAATATCTTCGTCAATATCAACCTGAAATTAATTAAAACAATAGGCAAACTGCTGAAAATATGATGCATTGGAAAAAGGGATTTTAAAACGTAAGATATTTATATTTTATGCCGTCGGCATAACGGTATTATGGAAAAATAAAACCTAAAATTAACCCTGAGCACCTCAGCATACTTTTTAAAACAGTTCTCCTCACCATGGGTAATTATTAACCATTGCATCCAACATTTTTAATCAAATATTTTTTATGTCTATCACAGTATCCAACGGATGTCATCCGCGCGGTTCTTACCCGAATCGCACTGTCATAACAAGCGAGTCGAAAGGATTAGATTCGTGCGAATGACATCCGTAGGATACATGCCTATTTATTTTACGAATTTAATCCTTCACACTCACTTGTTATGACAGAGCGAATTGGATTAGTTCCGCGCGGATGGCATCCGTCGGATACCGTAATAGGCAATTGTTAACTCTTCTTTAATAATTTACTATCAAAGCGAAATAAAAAAAGTCTTACCGGGTATTTTTATACCCGAGCGCACTTGTGCACAAGGGTATTATAACTTTGTTCGCATAACGGTTGTTTGTAACAGCCAAAACGAATCGAGATAGATATAGACAAATGTATACATAAATGCTCAGAATGATACGAGAAATCGATTAAGCCATGTCTGTCCGTCTGTCTATCCGTGCACACGATAACTCGAGAAAAAATTGAGATATGTCAATGAAATTTGGTAGGTAGGTTGCCCTTTATCCAAGGTAGGTTGGGATTAAAAATGGGCAAAATCGGACAATAACCATGCCCATCTCCCATGTAACGGTACTTTCGAAATATGGAAAAATTACGATATTTCCGTAAATACTGTATCAAAATTATTGAAAGTTGGTACGCGAAATAGAATTGTGGCATAAAATAAGACAGTTATGACGTTTTTCGAAAATGGGCGTGGCACCGCCCACTTACGATGAAATGCTGTATCTCTGTAGTCAAAATATTAATGATGTACTGAACTGTGTAGGTAAGTGCTTGTGTGCACAGAAAAGAGTTTAAAACTGATTTATAAATAGTACAATGTTTGCAGCAGAATGTCAAAACGGTGCAACAACTATTCACTTACAAGTTTTTACTAGTTTTGTGTTCAATAACTTGTTCTGCTAGTTTTCTCTTCTCAATTTTACGCTCTATTTTGCTTTTACGCTCTCGCTGCAATTTTTACTGGAGAAGTTACTATACCAACCTATTATTTTTCTGCACAGCACCCTGAATACGAATTAGGGATGCAACATCGCTCTTAAAAACATCGATGTTCCCACAACAAACATCGATGTTAAAAAACATCGGTTATAAAAACGATACATCGATGTTTTACCGATGTTTTAATTTCTCATTTACTACACGAAATAAAATGTAGCCTGAAATACTTTTTAAGCTCGAAAGAACTAGATTCACATATTCGCTACAAACCATAACTTTATACAAAACTTTGAAAAATTCAACACATTTTTATCTTAATTTTGAACTTTTTTATCTGAATTTTTAGAAAAAGC